AAATGTCAATTATATTATCCTAACTTTAGTCTGAGGTATTATTTATTACTAAACGTTAAAATCTAGTGGTTTCACTCAAAAATTTCTCAGAGAGGTAGGAGCTAGTGAGCTGGGAAGAGGTGGGGGGGGGGGATTTGAGTCCATTATTTGAATGGACATTAACCTGGCGACTGTATTTCTCTTAAATATTAATTGTGTGAGCATACCATCATAAAATTTATTTTTTATTTTTTTTCTACAACATAGGTACAGGCTGTACCTATCTAGTCTGGCAACCTCGGGACCTGACCGGTGCCGGACCATGGAAATTCACCCTTTTCTTGGACAGATAGTGACTTGTGCTTATGCTTGGAAGCACTAGCAACACTTACTCTGCATCATGGTCTCTTTGAAGACATATTGCAGGGTTAAATGTCGTATAGTAGCTTCTCAAATTTCGCGAGTTTGTAATTCTTAACATATTTTATTGGAACACACACAAAAATAAATAAATAAAAATTTTGACGGCGGAAACTTGAATTTCGACTTGTTTGAACGGCCCGCCAACGTGCAGACGATGTGCATAATCGTGTAAACAGCATCATTTCTCTTATGTACAAAAGATTCATTATTGTTTATTACTGAATGTCTTTTTTATTGAATTAATGTTTATGTGTGCAAAATGAGCAATACAATTCATTAATAATTCGTAGAATATTAAAACACACGAGGAAATGACACAGCATTGTTTTCATTGATTACAAAACCAGTGACTGACTGGTTCTACATATAAAACTGACGAAAATAAGACCTTGGTTGTAGCTGTAGTAAAATTAATATGGTTGTTTTAAGTTATGTTATTTAATGTTAATAAATGGAACAATAGAAGTAGCTAACGATAATGGTAAAGAAAAAAGAGAGATCGCGTATGTAAGTGCGCATGCTCACACGTGAAAACATATCGTCATTACTTTACATAAGAATATGAAAGCAACACTTATTTACTGTTCATTTATGTTTTAATTAATGTTTCTGAATATGCTTTTATTGAATTAATGTTTGTGTGTGCAAAATTAACAATACAATTTATTAATAATACGTGGAATATTAGAGGAGACGAGACGAGACGAGACGGCTGCTGGCATTGTTTATGTTAAAGCTTACAAAACCAGTGACTGATTGGTTCTACATATAAAACTGAAGAAAATAAGACCCTGAGTTTAGCTGTAGTAAAATTAATGTAAAAAAATTAATATGGTTGTTTGAAGTACCTGTAATGTTATTTAATGCTAATGAATGAAACAATATAAGTAGCTAACCATTAATGGTAAAAAAAAGTGAGACTGCGCGTATGTAAGTGCGCACATGTGAAAACATATCGTCATTACTCTACATAAGAATATGAAAGCAACACTTATTTACTGCTCATATATATATTGAAGGGTTAAATGTTGTACTCTCTATAGACAAGCAGAAAGAGAGAGAGAGAGAGAGCAGCCGAACTGCCGGATGTAAACAAACCTTAATTTTCCGCGGCTTTGTTTTTTTGTTTTTTTTAAGGTGATTAGCCCACCCGGGCATAGGTCACTGACCCACATTGGGGCCTGAGGGGCAAAACTTTAATACTCCTGTAATAATAATAATAATTCAGATAAAAAAAAAAAAAAAGAGCTGCCCATCTACCTATTGGACAAACTAAAATCGTTCCGGACCACTGGAGTTTCCGGACCACAGAATGCCGGACTAGAGAGGTACAACCTGTAATGTGTCCAAAAAGTGGAGTTTGGGGGTCGGGCCAGTCTCTATTGGAATTAATCCCATATGTTCTGTTGTTTACTTTACTCGGTTTTCACTTTCCTTGGTACCCTGTGGGTTCAGCGTAAATCGGGTACTACTGTATATATATTTTTTTACTGGTACAGTATACAGTACAGTAGTACCCCGATTTACGCAGTCAATTGAACCCACAGTATACAGTACTGCATTTAATACCTGTAGTAAAAATAACATCTAAATTTTATGGTGGTATGCTCACACAATTAATATTTAAAAGAAATACAGTCGCCAGGTTAATGTCCATTCAAATAATGGACTCAAATCCCCCCCCCCCCTCTTCCCAGCTCACTAGCTCCTACCTCTGAGAAACGATTGGGTGAAAACACTACATTTTAACGTTTAGTAATAAATAATACCTCAGACTAAAGTTAGGATAATATAATTGACATGTCTGGATTCCTTGCAGGTCAGGGAATATTTTGAATGTAAACTTCATATATTTTGCACAAAAGATAAAATATTTGCTTTGTGTAAACCAAATTATTACATTAAATCTAAAATTTGTATGTCTAATGCAAAATCCATGATGTTTATATTCAAAATGATCATCATATTGTAAGAATTCCAGCAATGTAAATTATATTCTGGCCGGAGTAATTTGTATGAATTTTATGAGCTAAAACAAATATCTTCAGTTAATAAAAAAAAAAAATATTCTTCACGACACTATCTGTCAATCAAAGTACCCCACCTTGCCTCCCCCCCTCCTCACACTCACGCCAGCTGGGTCGTCGGTCCCAACCCTCCCCCCCACCCCCCACCTTCCCTCCCTACCAGAGAAATGTTGGGTGAAAAAACTAGATTTTAACTTTTAGTAATAAATAATACCTCAGACTAAAGTTAGGATAATATAATTGACATTTCTGGATTCCTTGCAGGTCAGGGAATATTTTGAATGTAAACTTCATATATTTTGCACAAAAGATAAAATATTTGCTTTGTGTAAACCAAATTATTACATTAGATCTAAAATTTGTATGTCTAATGCAAAATCCATGATGTTTATATTCAAAATGATCATCATATTGTAAGAATTCCAGCAATGTAAATTATATTCTGGCCGGGTAATTTGTATGAATTTTATGAGCTAAAACATATATCTTCAGTAAATAAACAAAGAAATATTCTTCAAGGACACTATCTGTCAATCAAAATACTCCGCCTAGCTGGGTTCCTCCCTCCCTCCCTCCTCCCTCTCCCTCCCTCCTCCTCCCTCCCTCCCTCTCTCTACCCACCCCACCCCCCACCTTTCCTCCCTACCAGAGAAGCTTTTGGAGAAAATAGTATATTTACATTTTTAGTAATAAATAATAACTCAGACTGAAGTTAGGATAATATAATTGACATTTCTGGATTCCTTGCAGGTCAGGGAATATTTTGAATGTAAACTTGTTATTCTGCACAAAGGATAAAATATTTGCTTTGCGTAAACCAAATTATTACATAAGATCTAAGATTTGTATGTCTTATGCAAAATCCATGATGTTTATATTCAAAATGATCATCATATTGTAAGAATTCCAGCATTGTAAATTATATTCTGGCCGGGAAATTTGTATGAATTTTATGAGCTAAATAAAAAAAAATAAAAAAAAAATTATACTTCACCGCGTATATGAGTAGATGCACCGCGGAAAGTGAAAGTCCGGTTCTGGCCAGGTACCGCGTAAATGAGAAATCGCGGAAAGTGAAACCGTGTAAAGCGGGGTAATACTGTATGTTATTTTATGTACAAAGAATAAGTTCTTCCATACGCATACCTCCCACGCATCCAGCTCACAACACAGTGCAGGCAATCACCCAGCTCAGGTGACTCACAGATGTGTGGTGGCCACTGTGGTGGGTGTGTCACATTTAAAGTCCAGTAACTCACCTCCTAATAACACATTTACTTCCCACATGTGAGCTTTATTTTTCTTATTTTATTGTTTATATTATATTTTCTTTACTTCTAAGCCACATCATTTATGTACAGAAGATTAATTGTTAAATAAGTCTGTTTTTCTGAAACATGCGCTGGGAGTCAGAAATACCAGTCAGCTGTGGCCTACGAGAGATGGTAATACATGTTGACATTGTTACATATAATAAAACTATGAAAGTTGTGGAAAAACCATTTAAGTACTCGAATGTTACTAATGAATAAAGAAAATATAAAATAAAACTATAAAATAAGAAATATGAAGAACATGGGTGTGTATTCTGTGTGGTAGGTGATTGTAAGTGTGGAAGCAGTGGGCAGTTTGTCAATAGTGCATCTGGCAACCTAGATGCTTAGGCCTATTTCAGTTTAAATGTGCACCACACAATCACCTCCGCTGTAAGTTTACTTTATCCTCTTTGTCACTGATTTTCAAATTGATTTCAGCAGAGAATATTTAGGAAAAATAATGAGAGTATAAAAAAAGCTAAAATTACACAAGATGGTGCACACACTGCATCGCAGCTGAGCTGGGATGTGCTTCCTCTGTTGACCGACCCTTAGCAACTGTTGCTGAAGGTCAGTTGGCAGAGGCACACAACCCAAACCCCCTCCCCTGCTCAGTACATGCGGCAACTGAGGCCAAGAGAGGTGCCGGTGGAAGTATCTCCCCCAGCCATACACTCCCAAACTCACTGCATTGTTCTTTTTTTTTTTTTTTTCCTAAGCCAGGCGCATAAAGTTGAATGCGCATAAGTTAAATGTGTGGAAGATGCGACACGACTGTGTTCATTTCTAGTACAGTACCTATATGGAATTTCCCATCATTATCTCAGTATATTAGTACCTCATAATAGAGACCATAGATCAAATTAAATAATACAATGGGGAAACATACATATTTTTGGTTAAGGTATGAATGTATGCACAAGAGATGTGCACTTTTGGGGAAAGGTTCTCCATGGTCAGTGTTTTATTGATTACTGTTAAAAATGTAATGATATAGGATGATACTTGAAGCTTAGTAACTAAATGTTAGTGGCAGTGGCTTACACTTGTACAAGAGAAAAAGAGGTATAGCCTGCTTATAAAATACAGATCTAATGCTAATTACAGCTAAAATTCAGTATCAGAAAAGGTACATCATGTTAATTATATCTTTTTCATTAGTTCCTCTTAATATGTCCCTTGATATTAATTTTGGATTTGAAGAAATTTAAATACAGTATCTTGATTCTTACTCACAAGATGTACCCACCCACAGGTTTGTTTTAATTCACCGTGCAGCTTTAGAATCTCCGCTAGTCACACAGAATCTGCATCACTGGATTGATCTCGTGTTTGGCTACAAGCAAACTGGACGAGCAGCTGTAGATGCCATCAATGTCTTTCATCCCGCTGTAAGTGACCAGGACTCATGTATCTTAACTGGCTCACATATTCTTTGTGTGGCTATATGTTCAGGTATTACTAATGAGGACTCAGTTACTATTACATGGAACTTTTTCTTCATATATTTTTTAAACATATAATGACGCACTTTCCTTCTAAAATGCAACTTTAATTATTACTTTGAAGGTTTTCCTACTACTTGATCTGGTTGCCCTATCCACTGTTTCTTATTCACTGATCAAAAGTTAATATTGACCATGAATTAGAATTATAAATATTGGATACATTTTTGTTGAAGGGATATCTGTTTCATAATTACTAGAACTGAGTATGAATTCAACTACCTTCCTACCCCATCCGTCAGACATACTTTGGCTATGACGTTGAGAGTGGCAGCGACGAGATCAGTCGTGAGGCTCGTAAAGCAATGATCAAAACATACGGACAAACCCCACAACAACTTTTCGCAAGTCCTCACCCAAGTGTGAGTAACACTGGACCACCGCAGAACCCTCAGGTGAGTGGAGGTGTGGAGGTGTACATTGTGGAGCATAAACAACATAGTGTAATCCAAACAAAGGTAAAGACTCAGGGATAATAAGACTGAGAGGATAACAGGAAGGGATAATAAGACTGAGAGGATAACAGGAAGGGATAATAAGACTGAGAGGATAACAAGATAGGATAATAAGACTGAGAGGATAACAGGAAGGGATAATAAGACTGAGAGGATAACAGGAAGGGATAATAAGACTGAGAGGATAACAGGAAGGGATAATAAGACTGAGAGGATAACAGGAAGGGATAATAAGACTGAGAGGATAACAAGATAGGATAATAAGACTGAGAGGATAACAGGAAGGGATAATAAGACTGAGAGGATAACAAGAAGGGATAATAAGACTGAGAGGATAACAGGAAGGGATAATAAGACTGAGAGGATAACAAGATGGGATAATAAGACTGAGAGGATAACAGGAAGGGATAATAAGACTGAGAGGATAACAAGATGTGATAATAAGACTGAGAGGATAACAAGAAGGGATAATAAGACTGAGAGGATAACAAGAAGGGATAACGAGACTTAGAGGATAACAAGAAGGGATAACGAGACTGAGAGGATAACAAGACAGGATAATAAGACAGAGGATAACAGGAAGGGATAATAAGACTGAGAGGATAACAGGAAGGGATAATGAGACTGAGAGGATAACAAGACAGGATAATAAGACTGAGAGGATAACAGGAAGGGATAATAAGACTGAGAGGATAACAGGAAGGGATAATGAGACTGAGAGGATAACAAGACAGGATAATAAGACAGAGGATAACAGGAAGGGATAATAGCACTGAGAGGATAACAAGATGGGATAATAAGACTGAGAGGATAACAGGAAGGGATAATAAGACTGAGAGGATAACAGGAAGGGATAATGAGACTGAGAGGATAACAAGACAGGATAATAAGACTGAGAGGATAACAGGAAGGGATAATAGCACTGAGAGGATAACAAGATGGGATAATAAGACTGAGAGGATAACAGGAAGGGATAATAAGACTGAGAGGATAACAAGATGTGATAATAAGACTGAGAGGATAACAAGAAGGGATAATAAGACTGAGAGGATAACAAGATGGGATAATAAGACTGAGAGGATAACAAGAAGGGATAACGAGACTTAGAGGATAACAAGAAGGGATAACGAGACTTAGAGGATAACAAGAAGGGATAATGAGACGAGAGGATAACAAGACAGGATAATAAGACTGAGAGGATAACAAGATGGGATAATAAGACTGAGAGGATAACAGGAAGGGATAATAAGACTGAGAGGATAACAAGATGGGATAATAAGACTGAGAGGATAACAAGAAGGGATAATAAGACTGAGAGGATAACAAGAAGGGATAATGAGACAGAGGATAACAAGAAGGGATAACAAGACTGAGAGGATAACAAGAAGGGATAATAACACTGAGAGGATAACAGGAAGGGATAATGAGACAGAGGATAACAGGAAGGGATAATGAGACTGAGAGGATAACAAGATGTGATAATAAGACTGAGAGGATAACAAGAAGGGATAATAAGACAGAGGATAACAAGAAGGGATAATGAGACTGAGAGGATAACAAGAAGGGATAACAACCCTGAGAGGATAACAGGAAGGGATAATGAGACTGAGAGGATAACAGGAAGGGATAATGAGACTGAGAGGATAACAGGAAGGGATAATGAGACAGAGGATAACAGGAAGGGATAATAAGACTGAGAGGATAACAGGAAGGGATAATGAGACAGAGGATAACAAGAAGGGATAACAACCCTGAGAGGATAACAAGAAGGGATAACAAGACTGAGAGGATAACAAGAAGGGATAATAACACTGAGAGGATAACAGGAAGGGATAATGAGACAGAGGATAACGGAAGGATAATGAGACTGAGAGGATAACAAGATGTGATATAATAAGACTGAGAGGATAACAAGAAGGATAATAAGACAGAGGATAACAAGAAGGATAATGAGACTGAGAGGATAACAAGAAGGGATAACAACCCTGAGAGGATAACAGGAAGGGATAATGAGACTGAGAGGATAACAGGAAGGGATAATGAGACTGAGAGGATAACAGGAAGGGATAATGAGACAGAGGATAACAGGAAGGGATAATAAGACTGAGAGGATAACAGGAAGGATAATGAGACAGGATAACAAGAAGGGATAACAAAGGGATAACAACCTGAGAGGATAACAAGAAGGGATAATAAGACAGAGGATAACAGGAAGGGATAATGAGACTGAGAGGATAACAAGAAGGGATAACAACCCTGAGAGGATAACAAGAAGGGATAATAAGACTGAGAGGATAACAGGAAGGGATAATGAGACTGAGAGGATAACAGGAAGGGATAATGAGACTGAGAGGATAACAAGAAGGGATAATGAGACTGAGAGGATAACAGGAAGGGATAATAAGGCTGAGAGGATAACAGGAAGGGATAATGAGACTGAGAGGATAACAAGATGTGATAATAAGACTGAGAGGATAACAAGAAGGGATAATGAGACTGAGAGGATAACAAGAAAGGATAATGAGACTGAGAGGATAACAAGAAGGGATAACAACCCTGAGAGGATAACAGGAAGGGATAATGAGACTGAGAGGATAACAAGAAGGGATAATGAGACAGGATAACAAGAAGGGATAATATGACTATGAGGATAACAAGAAGGGATAATAAGACTGAGAGGATAACAAGAAGGGATAATATGACTATGAGGATAACAAGAAGGGATAATAAGACTGAGAGGATAACAAGAAGGAATAATGAGACAGAGGATAACAAGAAGGAATAATGAGACAGAGGATAACAAGAAGGGATAATAAGACTGAGAGGATAACAAGAAGGGATAATAACACTGAGGATAACAAGAAGGGATAATAAGACTGAGAGGATAACAAGAAGGGATAACAACCCTGAGAGGATAACAGGAAGGGATAATGAGACAGGATAACAAGAAGGGATAATATGACTATGAGGATAACAAGAAGGGATAATAACACTGAGGATAACAAGAAGGGATAATAAGACAGAGGATAACAAGAAGGGATAACAACCCTGAGAGGATAACAGGAAGGGATAATGAGACAGGATAACAAGAAGGGATAATATGACTATGAGGATAACAAGAAGGGATAATAAGACTGAGAGGATAACAAGAAGGAATAATGAGACAGAGGATAACAAGAAGGGATAATAAGACTGAGAGGATAACAAGAAGGAATAATGAGACAGAGGATAACAAGAAGGAATAATGAGACAGAGGATAACAAGAAGGGATAATATGACTATGAGGATAACAAGAAGTGATAACAACACTGAGAAGATAACAGGAAGGGATAATAAGACTGAGAGGATAACAAGATTGAATGGATGATAAGATAAAAAGCACGATGATATCTTACAGTTGGGATACACACATATATAATGAATATTTTAGGGTAATAAACCAAAAGTATTGTTTGGTCCACTTTATATGTTGAGATATTAAAAAAAAAAAATTGTGTACTCTTTTTTTTTTTTACTCTTTTATTTAATTAATTATTTATTATATATTATTTAATTATTTTCTAACAGGCTCCTGAGGTGCTGCATGAAGTGCGAGGATTACGCTGGGGAACATATGCTGGCTCTCCTGCTGACGATCGTCCCATCTTGGCTCTAGTACAAACTCTGAAGACTCCCGCCATTTATGTCACCAGTATATCGCCCACTGAGCTGCTCCTGATGCCCTCCCACACGCACGTTCTTAATTCTGGAATAAATAAAGGTATGATCTCCAACTACAGTACAGTATATTATTTTATGTATGAAGAGAAGACAGTTTTGAGTTACCAAACATTTACCATCCTACTGATGCAGTTTATGTAATGTTTGAATATTTTGTCAAATGCTTTAGGCCATCGTCACCCATACTGTTTACCCAAGTTATGTAACCATTTTGTAAAGCTTATCTTATTATTTTTGTTTACCTAAGTGAAAACATCTTTATGGAAAAGCCAAATCTGTCAGAATGGTAATAGATGTATAAAAGGTCGTGGATTCTTATCACTTTCATTTTTTTTTTCATGTAAAGCCTAAAAATGTGTGACTGCTGATGAACATGTTATTCAGTATTATGCTGTTGATAATAATTTCATAATTTTATGGTTTTCAAGGTATGAATGGTGTTTATATACTGTCGTCTCACCACCACGATGGCATCATTCGTTGTCGGCGCCTCAAGGATACTGTGGCTCACCCCCTGGTTTCTGTGCCACATTATGATGAAGTAAGACTTTTGTTTTGTGTAAGAATAACACACACACAAATACAATACAAGGATTTATCCTCCTAGTTTTGAAAATTCAACCTGAGAACAGATTGTGTTCCCAGTGATTTAGAGGCTACAGTCATTATTTTGTACATTGCTCACTGCAGTACAGTATATAGGTTTTAGAATAGTTATACATTGAAAGTTTTTATATTTCAGGTAATGTTATGCAGTTGTGGAAGTAGCCAAGTGTGGATTGGGTTAGCATCAGGTCAGATCTTGGTGTACTCAGTTACTCCCAGTCATGTGAGTGATGAATTAACAGCCTGTGTTCCACCAACCTTCCTACTGGCACACACTGCTCCAATCACACACATGCATGTGTCTGAAGCCTTCAGTGTGTGTATTTCTGGTGCCAAAGATGGGATGTGTGTACTCTGGGATACCAACAGGTTTGACTGTCGTGAACTTTAGTTTTATCTTTGGCTAAGTTGCTTAATTGTATGTCCTTTGTCCATCAACTTCCAATATATCATAATTTTTCATCCAAAATGACTTGAAATTTGGCATGGTAATTTTTTTTAGTTTACTATTATAAATTATTTAATTTGAAAACATTCTTAGCCAGCTGAGTATACCTTAAATTTCTCCTAATTAATTGATAAAATCATCTGTTAATATTGTTTCTTTTGTTATTCATTGATTACACTAAATTTATATATTACTTTACCTTTTTCCCTCCTCTCATGTTTCTCTACATTCTCTCTGTCTACATACACTAAATCATTACTGTCTGTTATTTTGTATACATGTATCCCCCATTTAGCATTTATTCACTTAATGATAATTTGGTTTAATGGTAAAATCATTTTGACACCTTTTCTCACTTAACGTTAGGTTAAAATTTGGTTTAGCGCGATAGGTTGAATAACTGAAAGGAGGAAAAACACAGAGGATGAGGTGGCCTGTGAGATGGCATGCTTCCTTTGTTACATACAATGAAACTATAAAAGTTGTGGAAAAATCATTACAATACCATAATGTGACTTGGAAATATAGAAAATATAATAAAACATAAAATAAGGAAAAGGAAGAGCATGGCTGTGGGTGTATATGAAGTGAATGTATGTGCAGAGGGAGTGGGCTTTAACTGTGTCACCGACTCGTCACCCAGTTGTGCTCTCTCTCCCCTATGTGACATCACAGCACACGCACGCACGCACGCACGTACGCACACTCCCTCCCTCCCTCATCAGTCAGCCAAGTCTGTTTGTGCCCTCCCCTGTTATATCCCAACTCCCTACCAACCTCACTACACCGGGATTTATCAGCAAAACATTCAAGTGATCAGTACAATAATAGTGTATTCCAAGGAAAAGCACCAAAACACAGCAGTGTAATACCAGACAGTGGGCACTTTGTCGGTCACCTTCAAAATGCCAGAGTTCTTCGGTGTTTACTTATACCTTGGGTACTGTGTCGGCGACCCCTTAAGTGCCGGAGACAAGGACTCGCAGTGTTTACGACTGGACAAATATTAACAGATGTCTACCAGTGTCTGGCTCTCAAAGTGCCGCCAGTGAGTTTATGGCCACTTCGGACAAACACTTCCGTCTGTCCACAACAATTGATATCAACAGATGTTCACCAATTACTTACTCCAGATGCTCCCTGTACCGTCTAAAGCTTGGGAACGGTTATGCTAATGGCAGGTGTTATCGCCCTACTTAAATCACTGAACATATTCCATTCTCGTAGCCGTAGACAAGGACGTCATAAACAGAAGCCCATTAGGACCATCACCTTCACTAGAAAACCAGAGAAAACTACTCCTGACAGACCATACCAATACACTGAAGTCCCATGAATATGGTACGGTCTTCTGTCTTTACTGCTCCCCAACGTCACTTTCTCAGCCACTAAATTTGACGAACTGGCAACCACAGTCCGATCAGTAGCTGCCAACATTGTTGCCATATGTGAAGCTTGGCAAATTGTGCCTGAAACGCATCATATTGAGGGATATCAACTCTTTCATCACCTTCGTTCACATGAATGCGGAGGGGGCGTTGCCCTCTTCTGTCAAGATGAACTATGCCCGTCACGCCTGGATGTTCAAGTCCCAGCTGATGTGGAGGCATTATGGGTACAGGTAGTGCCATGGGCCCACCCACACCACACTGCTTCTCTCATATACTGTGTGGCATACCATCCACCACGCTCACCCACCAGAGACACTCTTATCATTCACCTCATTACCACCTCAGACCACCTCAGAGTTAGGTACTCCATGTGCCAAGCTAGTACTATGTGCGGATTATAACGAAATTGACACCACTGATATCCAGGACCAGCTGCTACTATCACAAGTTGTGAACTTTCCCACACACGGTCAAAATACCCTTGACCTTATCTTAACTGACTTAGCGGACCAGTACCATCCTCCTCAACCATTGCCTCCTATCGGGTGTAGCACACACCTATCAGTGCTTTGGTCTCCAGCTGCCACTACCAGCCAAGTACAGAGACCCTACATCAAGACCTACAGGCCAATTACTGACTCTGCAGTGCATCTCTTCAGGCATTGGATAGTTCACCTTCCCTGGACTGAAGTACTTAGTGTGGATGACGTGGACACCAAATGGATAAATTATACCAACACCACCATGGAAGCTCACCACCACTTCTTCCCCGAGAAGTCCGTCAGATCACACCCAACTGACTTGCGCCTGGATCACACCTCGGATCAAAAGACTTATGCAACAAAGAGACAGAGCCTTTTATCTCAATGACCACAACCGTTACAGGTCCCTTCGCAACCAAGTCATCCGCAAAATACACACTGCAAAGAAGTCTCAATACCCAACCAAGTGGCAACACCTGAAGCAGACCAACAACAGTCAGTGGTATGGTAAGCATAAAGAACTCTGTGGACTAAACAATAAAACACCCCCTCCCCTTCCTTAGCCATCTCACTAATGGTAACACAGCTGAGCAATCAAACAACCATTTCGCAACTATATGCCAGATGCTCCCCCGGCTTGACACAACCAGTCTCCCTGCTTACCTACCAGCCCCCCTTCCCACTGACTTAGTAGAAGAATTTGAAGTAGCAAAACGTCTGGACAAACTGAAGTTAAAGCGCTCCACCACCCCCATTGACTTACCAATGAAACTATACAAGGAGTTCTCCCCGGAACTAGCTAAAACCCCCCTCTGCTCCATCATCAATGCTTCCCTCAGCCAAGCAAGGTGCCCAGCTGCCTGGAAGACCTCATGTGTGTCACCAGTGCCCAAGTCAACCACAACACAATCCTTATTTGAGCTATGATCCATTTCAATCACCCCAATACCCAGCTTAATCTGTGAAAGTTTCGTATTTAACTGGGCTTATGCTGATATTGCAGGTGCCACAGATCCTCAGTAATTTGGCAATATGAAAACTTCCTCCACCACTCACTGTTTTGTCAGCTTTCTTGACTACATATACCGCCATCTAGAAAAACGAAAAACGTCTGTGGCTGTCGCCTTCATTGACTTCACCAAAGCATTTGACCTAGTCGACCACAATTTAATCATCAACAAAGCTATCGACCTTGGGTTTTAATGAATTCTTATACCATGGCTTACAGACTTCCTGAGTGACCGACGCCAAGCCTTACGCTTGGAGGGGCTGTCTCCATTTTTTAGTCACTCACCTGTGGCATCCCCCAAGGCACCAAGGTGGGACCGCTCTGCTTCCTTACGCTTATCAATGATGCCCGAAGAGAAACCTCTACTCGCTGGAAATATGTCGTCTACTCCACTATTGGGATCAGTGTCAACAACTCGGCTCCCGACTATACCACCCTTCAGGATTTATTGAACAGTCTCCAAAACTGGGCCACCAACAACCATGTCACCATCAACCATACCAAGACCATGGTAAAGCACATCAACCTCTCCTCTGACCTTGTCCCACCTCCCTCCATTACTTTCGGCCCCAACACACTCCAGGTTGTGGACTCCACTAAGCTCCTCAGCATTACTATAGATAACAAACTAAGTTGGAAACTACACGTCAAATCCTCCAATTTCCGTCTCCACCTCCTCCACCGATTCAAGTCCTTCGGAGTTCCTGCGCCCGAGCTCCACAGTGCCTGATCTTCCTCCCTTAATGCCACACAATGTAAACACCTAGAAAAAGTGCAGAGGAGGGCATGCAAGATTATTCTCTCCCCAACTTAGTCCACATATCAAGAAATGCAAACTCTCAACACACTGACCCTCTTGGCTCTCTCTGACCAGCACCACGACCTCATCTGCAAATTTGGTGAGAAGCTTCTGCACCATCCTCGACACCGACTCCTACTACCACCCGAGATCCCTCGTCCGGGAATTGCTGTTCAACACCACAACTGCATCCAGCCCATACGAGCACGAACTGATCGCTATAAGAACAGACCAGTCCCAACCATTGTAAAAATTATCAATAACTTGTAATCAACCAGTGTATTCACTCCCAGTCAATCTTACCTTTTTGCACTGTCACTCTGTTGAAATGCCCTGTAGTACAACCTTCTCCCCACCTAGTTTTTATATATCATATTTGTGTCACTTATGTTACCTGTATATTATTTGTCAATCAAGAGACCCATTCCCCAATTATGTAACTGTATATTTTCAGCCTTCCAGCTGCCATGCTCTTTCAATAAACCATTAATTATTATTATTATTACACACACACACACACACACACACACATCTTTGAGTCAACTTGGTGACTGCCTGACTGAACTGTGTCTTGCCACCCAGAGGAAGGTTCTAGTATGGCAGGATCTATTGTATTTTATGATATGCTGTCTCAATCTTATTGTTTATCGTGCCAATTTTTTTTCGTTTTTGACATAAGTAATATGAAATTTGTTTGAATTAGGTTCACCCTGTGCTCACTAAATAGTTTACCTCTGAACCACATAAATTATATAGAAGTTTGATGTTAATAAATCAGTCGTTAAACTGTGAAACTGTTTATAACAAACTTGTTTATTAATATTATTATTAGGGAGTACAGTACAGTACTGTACTCTGTGATTACCACCCTGCTGCTTGAACCTGTTGTTTGCCTTCCATGCTTTGCTTTTATCCCTCGTTTAGCATTAATTTCGTTTAACGTTAGGTTTTCGGGAATGCAACCACATCATTAAACGAGGGATACCTATATTTCCATTGGGAATTTGGAACTTATTTTAACTTCAACACTATTCCCATTTGAACTCCTGTGAAGACAGCACTTTGTTCCATTCACCCATATTTTAGTGATCATTGCTTATAGCAACTCTACTTTTTACAGTTCATAATATGTTCTCCCAATTATCACTCTTGATATTTTTCCACCTTCTATGCTGACTTACAATGTTTTTCAGATATTTATGTAGCACACGCACACTGGCCAATTAAAAGTTACAATCGAGTGATTTTTGTTTTAGGTTGTCTTACATCCGAAGCATTGGGTCCAGTGGTGTTGAAGTCTCTCTCTTAGCTATGAGTGAGACATTAGGGGATTGGGCTTCTGTAAGTCCACTTGGATCTGCTGCTTCAGTGTTGCGCTTGTACTCCATCAATGGAGCCCTAGTTGATTCAGCAGTCACTCCTGCACCTGTTACAGCCATCACCTTCTCTTCAGCCCCTGAGGGTACTGCCATCAATGTCATTGCCACAAGTTTGGCAGATGGCCTAATCAGGTGCACCCTTTTTCTCGTAACGGTAACTTTTACTTATGTCACACTTACCCTGTGCCACTAACTGCTAGCCTTAACAGTTTTGGATATGGAAAATAATTTAGCAAAGTAGCGAGTCAGCAGAGGATCTAAATAATTACAGTTAAGTTGTATAATTTTCTTTTATCAGGTTATGGAGTGTATGGGATCTGAGACCAGTAAGAGAGTTGAGAACTGACAGAGCAAGACAGCCAATAACTTCGTAAGTTGTTCTTTAAAATTTTTTATATTTTCTTCCTTTTTTTCCATTACTGTACTTTGGGTAATTGTTAGGTGGTCAAATTATACAAATATTGAGGCCGAGTATTCTTATATGTTTCATTGATTTAATCTGTATGTGAATTGTAAATGCAAGTTAAGGATATGAGTAAGTGTACGATAAGTATTTGAACATGTCTTAGTTTGTCCTGTCATTTTCTACACTTGTCTTGCACCTCACCACTCCTCCCTACTAGATCCCCCTCCTATATTTGAGGTTTCTGTGTCCCTTAATCCACCCCACACAATGATAATTGATAGATATTTATGTGTGTTGCGACTCATATATTACTTCCTGTAATAGACTTTGTGGAGTTTTTCATCTTTTTTTTTTCACTTCTGCCGATCTTTTCTTGCTATGATGTAGGGAGACTTGAACCAAGATTAACACAGACTCTCCTTTCATTCATTTATGCACCTTCTGTAACTTATAATTTTCCCTTGCTATATTTCAGTGGCACGTGCAACCCATAGGAAGGTGCACTTCTTGTCCCATTATATATTCTTAAATCATACTTTTCCCAGATTTAACATTCTCAGGCAGTTTAAGGGTTTTTATTGCGTCATTCTCTGCTAACCATCTTACCATCCGTAAATGTAAGTGATTTTCTTTTTAAAAATCTACAAGTATACCATTATTTATTTTTTTTAATGCACTGATATATTTCATTGAATGAGGTAGTGGGTGTTTGTATTTTTTTTTTTTTTCTTTCTACCTTGTTTGACTGTGTGTGTAAAGAGGAAGGTATATTATTACACATGTTTTAACTGTGTAATTTTTCACAGGCTTCACTACACCCATGACAACCATCATTTATGCGGCATCACTGAAAGTGGTATTCTTCTAGTGTGGGAGTCATCGCTGGTCAAGACCAAAATTCCAAAATTCATTACGGTACCTTCACTGTAGACTTGTTCCTCCAAGCTATTAGCATGACAGCTGTAAAGAATAGCACAAGAACACATCATTGTAGTGAAGATTGTCTCCATATCAAGGTACAGTACACTAGATGACAATGAATACTGTTACTGAGGTAGTAAAATATCTCACTAATTATAAATATTCTTGCAGAATCTCTCAAATTTTATATTTTACTTTGTGAACTAGCAGTTGTCAATTTTATGACTGTTTTTTGTAAGTACAATAATGTGTTATCTTTTAATTAGTAATACCCCCACACTTTTTATATTTTTATTTCTATTAGTATAGCTAGTCACAAAGTTGCATCTGAGCTAAAACATGTAATAGCTTCTGATATTTTACTTATTTTTACCTATAAGCATCAGCAGAAATATTAATGATTATCTGCATATGTATTTTATCCATATGACTGAGAAATGCATTTAGTACTGTAATACAGTGATAGGTTAATTGTAGACGCCTTTGTGTGTGTGTGTTTGTGCGTGCATGCGTGTGTGAGGAGGGGTATATGTGCATTCCCATGTTGCATGCATGTGAACATGTCATGTATGAGCATAGTTTAGGTCTAAAAATGTGCTTTGAAATATATTCTTCAAGTACTGTACTTAAGGAGAGGAAAAGGGTAATGAAAGACAAGGTGTGGCCCCCAGGGGTTTCTTTGTTAGTATTTGTGTTGACATTCTTGTGTATGTTTGTGTGTACACCTGTTTGCATTAGGGGGTATTCATGTGTATATTTGCATCCTGGTATTTATATACTGTATATGTATCTATTTATTTGAGTATGTGTATATATGTATTTGTGTGTGTGTATATCTGCTGTATCAAATGATAAATATACGTATACATAAATATGCCAAATTAAGCTCAAGCTACCTCCTAATAAAGTTATGCCTGTTATGCATAAAAGAATATTAGAGGGTTAATGATAATTCACTATTTATGTAAAGAAATAGTATAAAATCAAGTTGTAAATGTAATGATGGTATGGTAATGTGATGTTTCATGTAGGTCCTTCCATTCCTACCATATTTTGTTTTCTATGCTCTGTTTGGAGTGTAGTCATCTCTGTATATGGTAATGTAGAATGTTGTCAAGTACAGTAACCTCTTGATGCCTATGGCACCACATCCTCCACTCTTGGACAAGTAAGAATAACCCTGCTATCCTATTCTTTAACTTGGTGAAACTGCTTCAAGAGCATCACACTAACTTTCTGAAATTTTGGGCACCATAAACTTTGCTTTTAGTTTGCTCTTAGACAAGTAAGAAAATTCTTCTTTCTTATAATTTTATCTGTTGAAATTCTTCAAAATTATTTATAACATTGCACAAAAATGCATTAATCATATCTTTCTAACATTTAATTAAATATATTTTTTTCTCATTAAGAGGCCTTCTGGATGGAGGGCAGGTTATTTGGATGATTATATTTATTGTAAATAAACAGTGATATTCAAGTTAGAAAATATTATGGAAGAGTTTGATATGTTGACTTGAGTTACTTTTTCAAATTCTCCCATAGTATCAGTAATGATTTAATCACAGCACCAAAGAACAAGTGTTTTAAGATTTTTCCATTTTAGTACTGCAGAAATTTCTTTTAAAGTGGTGGTCTGAAAATGGTGGAATATCATTTAATAGTTGTTTTACAGTAATAAGCTCAAGACATGAAACTATTCATTGACTTGGTTTTGCTTTATTTCATGATACTGTACTGTATTGTGTTCTCTTATTGTGATATATTTCATGCAGCTGATTACATATAACATTCCCTCCAAATTAGTGAACTTCAAAGATCTGATACTATATTAAACTTAGGAAGATTTTCCTCAAGGTTTTTGTGTAATTCACAAAATGTATTTGATAATTGCAGATTTTAGTTTTCACATTCTAAAATTTTTCATTTTTATATATGATGTTTTTCATGATTAAGACATTATTGCTGCTTTTATATACATTTGAAGATATTCTTATAAAGAGCAACACACTATGACTTTTAAGAATGTGAATAGCTTATCGCATTTAATGAAAATGTAAAGGAAGATACAAATTATTCATTTTTATTTTAATCATAAGGATTACATAAAGTTGTATAGAAGGACATCGAGTTTGGTTAATATTTCTTGTTGTAGGTAATTGTATTTACCATATGTGCCTGTATGTTCAAGGTTATGCACTAGTTTACTCGGCTTCCTTTTTGTGATAAGAAGACTAAGATACATGAAAGTTTTCCATTGTTATTTATAATTTTTTTTAATTTCATGATATACAATCTGTAGTTGAATCATCTCTCTCTTACATTAAGGTAATAATATTTTACTGTGATAATATTAGGAGATTTTTTAACCAAATGCATAGGTTTTTTTATTATGATAATAAGATGGAAGTTATGAGATCCAAGGTACTAACACCAAAGTTTGAGATCTTTTAAGGACTTACTGCATGTAGTAAATACAGAATTACCAAATGCTTCCCTTTATTAACTGTAAAATTCCCTACATGTAATAAGCATCAGTTGGGCTTACTTTTCTTAAATGCAAATTTTTTGCCCTGCTGTGGCAAGTATGTACATTGTGATGTAGTCTGCATAAAGTTTGACCTGATGTTGAAATCTAAATGATTTAAGTAAGATTATTAGTGAATGACCAGTAGCTTGGAAATGTAAAAGTTAATTGTAAAGTGTTGCTCATTGTGCTTTCCAAGAGATTGTTATATGAAAAACATATAAATGGTCGGACTTTTAAGTATGCTATATGTTCATGTGCCACTAATTGTCTAGAATGCTTGTGTCAGAGAAATGTAGTTATGCTGAGCCCCTGAAATACATTGTATAGGATTAATGTTGCCAAAGACTGTCAGTAAATGTATGCCTTGTATTCTTGGCTTCCAGTTGTTACTTAAATTTTATCTTTTAAAAAAATTACTCCTTTTGTATGTTATAATCAAAGGAAATTGGAGAAATATTATACTTTTTAAAGCAATAAAATACAATGGTGCAAAATTGTGTTTTACATCTTTGGGGAAGACAAGGGCGGGACGTTTTAGGTCCAAGGTCTAGTACCTGTGTCTTGTCATTTTAGTGTGTCTCAGCAAATTAACCAAAATCATAAATTCAAAGAGAACACTTGTGTACTGTGTATCTCTGTAAGTGTGTTTGTAGTAAAAAAAAAAAAAGTTACTCATCGTGCCTTATGTTCTGCAACCTCCATGATGAAGCTTCAAGGTTTGATTCTAAACCACCAAAATTAGTCTCTTTGTTTACCAACAGATAGTATGCCTGCCTGTGTATACACTGCCATTTCTTGATGATGGGTAAATCAGTCACTTAGCAATACAATCAAGTATGATTACACAATAACACTTAAGAGAGGGGGCTTATGTATTCCTCGGAGTGTGATTGTTAACAGGTATCGTTGCTTAATGACTGACTGGAAAATCATTCACTTAGTGAATTTTCATATCTCGAATAACAGAACAAAAGGGAAAAATGGGTTTTGGTTCCACAACGACAAGAAAATAAAAATATTGTACCCCAAAACATGAAATCGGTTCATGAAAAAAAACCCGAACTAATGAAAAATAGTACCCATCTACACTACTGTAATTTAATACTAACACATTAAAAACATTGATAAAATACTATCTAGATGAAAATATGCAGCTAAAACCATTAAGGAAAAGCTAAATGATAGATTAATACAACCTTCATTTGTATAAGATGCAATCACGTGGCCTCAAAGCTTGCCATAGGAATTCAGCTCAGCTGGGACATTTCCTCTGCTCCCTTTCCAGTTCCCCCTCTCAACATGCTACACTCGCTGGCCCACAAAGAAATGTTTATTCCCTTTATGTTTTTCACCTTATCATAATTTTTTTTCCACGTTCTTTTTACTCTTATCCTATTCACCACTGATTGACTCGTTAGCCGCTTGGGCGGTCGGTCACGTCTCTGTTACACACACTGTTGGCAATTACAGGGCATGCAATGCCTCATGAATGTATCTGAACCTGCTCCAGTGTTGGTCAAGTTTGGCCTTGAAAGAGGTCACACTCAGTGCCATCACAATACTCTCCGGCAGATTGTTCCAGGAGTTCACAATTCCTACTCCAAAAAAGTTTGCCTCACAGTTTTCTGGGCCTGCGGCTTCTTCAACCTTGAGCTGTGACCACTCGTTGGGCGAGCGTCCGCCAGCTCCAAGTAAGAACACTCAACTGAGTAGTGCCCTATGAGATGTTTATACACCTCAATTAGATCACCCCTTGCCAGTCTGTAGTATAAGCTAGGCAGTTGCAGGTGCTCTAATCTCTCTGGATAACTTAGGTGCTGAAGTGCGGACACCAGTGTGGTGGCCCTTCTTTGGACATTTTCAATCAACTGACAGTCCCTAGCATGTCAAGGGCACCAGACGGGGTGACAGTACTCCAGATGGGGAAGCACTTCACTCTTGAAGATCATTACGAGGGACGGACCGTCTAGATATCTGAACAACCTTCTTATAAGACCTGCTAGTTTATTTGCTTGATTCACCTTCTTTTCACAATGGCCCTAGAACTTCAGTTCATTATCAACATACACACCAAGGTCCTTTTCACATTCAGTTAGGACATATGATGCGCCTCCTTACCGTTGGTATGACCCAGGTGCATCCTCTTGAAACTTAGCAGCCATTTCTTCGACCCTTCTTGAAGCTCAGTGAGATCCTTCTGCAACTCTTCACAGTTTGCTTGGTCCTTAATTTCTCTAAATAACTTGGTATCATCTTCAAACATTTGTATGGAGGAGTGTACAGCTTCAGGCATGTTATTTATGAAGCAAACAAACAACAAGAAGCCAAATACACTGCCCTGTGGTATCCCTGTCATCACGGGTACACTTGACAATTTCGTGCCATTAATCACCACACACTGCTTGCAGTCATGGAGAAAGTCTCCAATCCATGCTAGGACACTTCCCAGAATCCCATACCCTTCCAGTTTAATTTTCAGCCTTTCGTGGGGTATGCTGTTGAAAGCCTTGGCAAAATCTAGGTATATAGTGTCGATATTACCACCCTGTTCCAGAATTTGGGTCCAAACATCCGGTACCTTGAGTAATTGTGTTAAACAGGAGCATCCCGGCATAAAACCATGTTGGCAGTCCTTCACAAGGTTGTTTCATAGTAGATGTTTCATCATGGCATCTCTTATGATGCTATCAAGTACTTTTGCACACTATGCTGGTACAGCTCACAAGTCAATAGTTATTTGTGGAGTGATGGTTGCCTTTCTTGAAGATAGGACTCGCATAAGCCATTTTCCAATCACTGGGGACCTTTTGCTCATCCAGGCATTTACAGAACAGGATCTTCAGGGGCTCAGAGTGCTAAGAGAACTGTGTAACGAGCACACAGTTCTCTCAGCACTCTGGGATGCACCATGCCAGGGCCAGGACTTTTATGAACCTTTAGCTTTGACAATTTATTTCTTATACCCTCTTCTGTGAACACAATGCGGGTCAGCTCAGTGTCAAACTGTCTGTCCTCAATCGCAAGAAGATTGACGCATCCTCTCGTGAACACCGAGGAAAAGAATCTGTTCAACATCTTCGCCTTGTCCTGGTCAAAATCTGCGTAACTACCATCTTCAAGCCTCAGGTCCGATACTCCTACTCACGTTTTGAATTTTGACTTTGTGTAGCAGTAAAGCACCTTTGGGTTTTACTTAACCTCGCTCACAATCCACCTCTGGAACTCTTTTTCAGTCCTTCTACACTCTGACTTCGCTTGGTTCCTGGATCTGGCATACATCCTCCTCTCCTGCTCATCATTTGTCCTAACCCACGTCTCGAATTTCTGAGTTTTCTTCTTAACTTTGTTCACCGCCGCATGGTTCATGTATAGGGATCCCCTCGTATTCCTGGAGGCACTGGGTTTGGTATTGGGTACATATTTCTCGATCAAATGGTTCACATTACTGGCTATGATATAAAGTGTAGTGTCTGCGTTCTTATACCTTAGTAAGTCAAGCCAGTGTATACTCCTCATCTCCTCCCTCATCCCGTCATAATTTCCTTTGTAATATTTTAACCTTGGCCTGGTTGTGTCATGAACCAAGTAACAGTTAAATCTGAATGATAACGTTACGTGGTGACTGGTGCCAACAGGGGCTAGGTGTTCCAGCTTGGCCACCATACCCTCCTCGTTAGTTATGATGAGGTTCAGAGGCTTGAGTGTTTGCTCCCCTCTGTAATGAGATGGATCTTTAACATGTTGGAACAGAAACTTGTCTCTCAGAGTTTCTACAAAAAGGGTAGCGGGGTTATTTAGGTAATTTGGCGTGGTTTCATTTCTCCAGTCGATATCGCCATAGTTGAAGTCCCCTATGACATGGAGGTAGCTAGGGTTGAGCATCATTGCATTGTCAATTAAGGCTCTTAAGTTCCTTTGGTTCTGTACTGGCACACTTGCCTCCACTACCTTACCCTTGTATATAATCCATGTACAGTCGGCCAAAGATCTATCGACCCTACCCTGGCTTTCATACTTGCAATTTTACCTGGCAATACTTGGTAAAGTAAGGCTGTATGTAATGAGAATTGTGATTGGTGGATCTATTTACGGCTGTATCACTGTCAGGATAATTATTAAGCAAACCTAAGGAAGCATTTTTATCATAATAAATTACAGTATTCATTATTATTTAAGATCATGACAAGTTTCCAAATCTTCGTAATTTGGTTAAATAATGAAAAAATTTATTAATGAATTGGCAACGCAACTACGACCAGGGCTGCCACAAGATTCTCACATCAAATTTCAAGAATATATGTTCCACATTTAATCTTGAGTGTTTTATGAAGGAATTAATTATCTTTACATTGTGAGCATTACTTGATACATTATAATTTACCGTAAGTTAGAGGACAGACACTATGTAATAGACTCAACTGACACACTAATAGCATGTGTTATCCCTGCACCAGTGCCTTACAGATATGTGGAGAAGGAAAACACTGAAGTGGTCATTTTGGTGTGACACTCACTGCATTTGACGGTATTATTATTAATAACTCACTGATAGGAGAGAGGGAGACAGAGAGAAAAGGAGAGGGAGTGAGACAGAGAGAGACAGACAAAGACAGAGTATACGTACAGTATATGATAAGAACTCAGAAAGGGGTTGAATAGCTCTCCGTCATTATTTGGGTTTTTAGTTTCTCACTTTTTTTTCCTTTTGAATTATATTGCAGCTGGAATTGTTGTCATTGCAATTTGAGGTTTATGATACATTTCTTTCTTTCGAGGATTAAAATATAGACAGGTTTAATAACGGGTTCATCCACCCTCCTTATCAATTACAGCTTCTAGCCTCCTCTACATAGAAGATACATTTTGTATCAAGCTCAGGCTTGTTTCTAAAAATCTCCCACTCTCTTGTCAGGTGGTCGAACAGCTGGTTCAGATACCTCTGGAACTCGGGCTCCCAGGAATTGAAGATACTTGCCCAGATATTTTCAATGGGATTCATGTTGCACCCCTTGCTTGGCAATTCCATGAGCCTGAAGTGTTGCTGCCCATCAAACACCAGACGCACTGCTCTGGCCGTGTGGATGGGGCATCTGTCATGAATAAAAGTAATTGGCCCTGCAGGGTATGGTAAATTGCGTTCCTTAATTGAAGGGAGTAACTGATTCCGCAGGATATCGAGGTATTTATTGGCTGTAAACCTCCCCTCAATTCAGAAAACATCTCCCATACTGAGCAGGGATATGTAGCCCCACACGATCAGCGTCACATGCCCACTTCTAACCACCTCGTATATTTGGGCCCTGTCGTATCTGCAGGAAGGTAAAATACGATACAAATATAAATATATTGATCTAATCAATATACAGTATTACATTTATATTAACTTTTTTAGTATTACAGCATAGTGGATATGGCCAGTTGTCAAATTTCTCTTTGTGTTTGTCTATTTTCTCTTTGTTAGGCTCACATACATATACGTTATATAAAAAAAAAT